GGCCATTGGCAGGCCACAGCTCCAAAGGATAACAGAGCTGTGACCATAAATCGGCTTTCATGGTTTGTTTATGGTTGTGCCGCCGTGTGGGTCCTACTGCACAGAGCGTGTTCCATGGCGAAAAGTGGCCACTGGCCACCAACGAGCCCAGGAGGGAACCAGTGGCCGCTGTGTGTGTGGGATGTGGACAGCAGGGTGTGCAGGCTACACATCAGACACGGATAAACAAAAGGCACCCAAATGTTGGTGTCAACACGACCGGCAAAGCAGTAGCTTTGCCCGAGCCCAAGTACCACCTGAAGCACATTCTCAGAACTAACCCATGCATCTGTAACAGTGACAGCCAGCATTTACAGAGCGCAGTTAGGGTTGGCACTGGATCCTCACGGCAACAGTACTGTGAGGCAGGGCCTATTTTTACAGATGAGGAAACTAAGACTGAGAGGGACGAAGTGGCTGAAGGAGGGTCACACAGCTACTCAAGTGTCCGAGGCTGGCGTCTGAAGTCTCACTGGGCCACCCAGCCACACAGCTTCTGCCCTTCTTAATCATGGGAAACACAAGAGTCAAACCCTGTGCAGACACAGCAGGATGGCAACGTTACGAGGAGGCTCCAGTGGAACCTCGATCACCTATCTCCCATGGTGCTACCGTGCCCAGGAAGGTCATTCTGTCTCCAGCTCCTGAAAGCACAGGCTAAGGACTACCGGAAAGAAAGCGCTATCAAGCGTGCCGGGACGGACGCCAGGGGCAGGGAGGGAGAGGAGCGACAGACGGACTCATGGCTGTGCCAGGAGACCAGCATTTACTCAGCGCCCACTGTTCAGAAAACCTTGTGACCATCAGACGATAAAGAGGATTCAGAACAAAAAGAATATACGATTCCTACCCCCAAGGAGCTTCCACCCTCATTGGAGACACATCTTACACGCGTAGAGGAGACTAAACAACAGAGTAGAAGAACACGCCACGGAAGGGCTAAAGAGTTAATCCAGGAAGCCTCACTCAAAGAAGGGAGGTTCCACAAGAGAGACAACTCCTCACCCCAAGGACAAATGAAACCACTTAGCTAAGAGGTGACAAGGCCAGAGCCTCCACCCTCGGGGCACCCTTATGCTAGAACAAGAAGCCCCAGTGTATCAACCTGCTGACTTCGAAGAAGGAAAGATGCCAATGATGTGCCTCGAAAACCCAGCCACCACTGCCCATCCTCCCCCAAGGCGCCTCGATTGCTCTCTCCTGGTAGGGCGAGGACGCCAGGGGGGCAGTCAGATAGTTACTGCTCACTCTTGCCCTGGGACCAGGCCATTTTCTCTTCTGAAACTCTATCTCTTTGACGACGAGTACTCTGGTTCTTCTTTGCTGTTCCTAATTTGTTCTGTGTTGCAACCTTGAAGTTGGAAAGAGACTCAAAATCATACAACAATACTAGTAGAATATGAGTATTAGAGACAGGTCTTCATTTCAAGATACCACCTTCCTGACGTCATTGGTCCTCTTCGAGAACGAAGGACAAACATCAATCTGTGAGCAGCACAGCAGCCCAACTGGGGACCCAACTGGCAAATTCCAATTGGGCAATGCTGCCCACCCTTCTTTCCTTCCCTCTCTTCCTCCTCCACATGGGGAATCATACACTTACATGTGCGTGCTCTGCCCAAAGGAATATAAATTTCTTGAACTAGAACTCTGTTAAACTTTGATAAAGCCCATTTGGATTCAAATGAAGCTACCTGATTATGCCTTAAACCCAAATCACTCTGGCTCTCACTGATTGGCCAATAAGTCATCCCAATCCAAGCCTCTGTTGGTCGCTGTTTGGATTTTGATGGCTCAGAGTGAGTGTAAATAGCAATTGGCCAGAAACTCCGCTCTTCCCCTCTGAAATAGAATTTTTTTTTTTTTGAATAGGCAAATGAGGCCATCTTTTGCTTCATTTCTTACCCAACCTTCAATCACTGAATGGGTGTTGCCTCAGACAAACTGAGACCTGGGAAAGACCTTAGCTTAAAAAGGCAAAGGTCTCCCACTGCATCAGGGCCATCTTCAGTCATCCTGATCTATGCTTTGAAGTGAGGCTGGTGACTTTGCGTAGTCCTGCCTCACTTAAATCCAATTCACTTGCAAGGTATGGCATCACCTTCCTAATATCATTGAAGGACAAACAACAACAAACATTTCAAGGAGAAATGTGGGGTCCTTCAGGAGCTCTGTTATCTTCCCATGAAGATTCCTGCCTGTTCTCTTCCTCCTCTATAGTTCTGGACCCAGTTCATCCTCTATTTGTAGCATCTGTCCAAGGTGTCTACACTGAAGGACAAGCTCTATGAAGCCTGCAACTCTTTGTCAAGACAACAAGCATTTTTAAGCCACGTGATTCTTCTGCCCATGTGAATGAAAGGTGAAGCTCTTTGGAAAGGATACCAGGCTCCTCCAGGGCTTCGTGAGGCCAGCATAATGTCATCTATAAATAGCAACATCTGGAGGACCTCACCAGCTACAAGGATCCCTCCCCACCTTGGAATCTCCTCAAGGAGAGTGGTAAACACCTTCAGTGATGATCACAGAGTCACAGAAAAAGCTTCTCTCTGTTGTCTGATCTTTCAAGGAATTCTAGAGGATTCTGGTGTATGTATACATGGAGGAGAGCTTTTCAGGTGACATTTAGTTCTACTGAATCAAACACTCTTCTATAACACAAGGTGAACTATATTCAGTCAATTCAGCGTAAAGATGAGGTCTACTGTGGCGATCCCCTCCTCGAGCACTCCCTCCAAGACCTCGCAGGCGTGTCGCCTCCGGTGCGGGTGGGTGACATCCACTCATGCTGCTGTTTCCCCGTCGTCACTCTCTTGAGCATCATTCCTCCCCTCCCCTCCTCTAGAGGCAAGCTCCGGACTGGGCTGTCACTGGCCAATGGCCACCAGTGACTCTGGCTTGCTTAACGAGGACTGTGAACAGAACTTTTATTAAAAACAACAAAACTTGGGAGATCTTTTCCACCATGCCCCTCTTTGCTCTCCTCCTCCTCCCAGCTTCACTCTTACATGCTCTTGGGATAACTCTGCCTAGATGAATCCCTCACCAGACTTTCTTCAAACCTGTCTGACCGCGCTTTGTGGCCCTCTGTTTTAACAAGAGTTTCTGCTCACACGCTCCCAGAGATAGCTAGCATTTAAAGGCTTTAACGTTTGTGCGTTACAAATATCACCTCACAACAACCCTGAGAGGTAGGTGCTATTATGACCCCCACTGTACAGACAACGAAACTAAGGTGCACAGGGGCTAAGTGACGTGCTTTGGGTCACGCAGCGAGGAAGAGTCTAAAGCTGGATTGGAACCCAGGGCTTCCTCACTTCAGGCCCAGCACTCCTTCCACTATGTCACCTAGCTGCCAGTTTCTTTCTCTCAGAACCCAAATTTGGAATACTGTATGCAGAAGTACTCTCAATCAGAACGAGAGTCCTATAAATTCTCCTGCCATTAACATGCCTAAGGCCAGAAAACCTGCAACATTCAATCATATTTCAATCAACCAATCACTCAGCATTTATTAAGTACCCATTATGTGCCAGGACTGTGCTAGGTGCTAGGCATACTGCAATCGGAGTGAAAAGACCCTCCCTTGAGGAGCTTACAAAGGAGAAACAGCCATGCACACATGTGTTTATGGGGATGCCACTCACCCACAGATCCATGCATACATGTGTGCACACATGTGCATCACCCATGGATTC